GGGCTGGAGCTGCCATTTGTCTCCCCCCCATCCTCTCTGACCAAAAGTGGACGGTGGCAGGAAGCAGCGCACTTATTACCCCGTCTCTCTCTCTCTCTCTCTCTCTCTCTCTCTCCCTCCCTCCCTCTGTCCATTTTTTGATTGCTGCATTCATCATCGGGTGGTCGTGCTCTACATTATGGTAATAGGAAAATGAATGTCCTCCACAGGATTAATGTGTATACCCTGTCATATGTTTCAATCATTTATCAAAATTAAGATTCAGCTTTCAGCTCAGTGAGCGCCGCTTGTTGCAGGAATGTAGCTTAAATTATTGCTTCTTGCTGAGGTGAAGCGGCGGGTGCTTTTTCATCATCATTATTATTATTATTATTAAATATTATTATTATTATTTGTGCTTGAATCAAGAGATGAACTACATTTTTTCACAAATCCATTCTTAGTATTTGAATTGCACCCACCCCTTCTGTAATTACTGCTTACTAAAACCCCTTGAGGTGTTGCCACGTTTGGTGTGTTTGTGTGTGTGTTTGTGTGTGTGTGTGTGGGGTAAAAGTGGTTAAGACTTCAGCGAGTGGTGCACCGGAATCACTTTCCTAAACACATCCCAGAGCCCGCAAACGCAGCCGCCGTGCCGCTACCTCACGGCTAACTTCGCCCTGTTGCTGAACTTGGAGGCAATTAAATGGCGTGTGCTCAGGTTTTTTTTTTTTTTTTTATCTCCGTTAACCCTCGTAGAAACGTTCCCATGACAACCTCCGTGCAAGTTAAAGCAACCCTGAAGTGATCAAACCTTTTTTTTTTAACCCCTTCCCTCCCCATCATGTCCCTTCCCCTGCCTCCCTCACACTTTCTTTCTCCCTGCCCCCAATAAAGATGGAATTTGTGTTGACAGTTTTGGCCTTTTAATGGCACTTTTTTTTTCCTCCAAAGTATTTGTTTACTGGGATCATACGCTGCGAGCTGTCAGCCTCGGAGAGATTGACTTCTTAAGATAAAAGAGTGCGTTACATGTTTAAGAGGCCACCCTTTTGCTCTGTAATTATCCAGTAATGATGTTTTGTGTGCCCCAGATCCTACGAGTCTTGAGACAGCTCAGACTTTTTTTTAGTTACGCTCTGGGTCACTCCTTAAGCCCGGCTAGACGCCGTCGTCGACGAGAAACATTTCGACTCCTTGGTTGGGGAAAGCTGTACAGGGAGGGGTTGTGGATCACTAAGGAGGCTGCTGGAGTAACTCACTCATTCAGGTTTTCCTTTCATTTAATTCCTTTTCTGCTTCTAAAAGTTACAAGCAAACGTTTTGGTATCACCTTAAAGGCACAGTGTGTAGGATTTTGTCAATTTTAGCCGAAATTGAGATAATCACTAATGACACTAATAAAAAACATGTCTAATCATTGCAGACAAAGACCTTGTTTTATTATTTTTGCCTTATAAAAAGCTGTTTATATCTCCATGGTCGCRGGTCGCCACTACAGGCAGCCGCCATCGGCAGCCGCCATCTTGTCTACGAAGGCTCATGAAGGACAAACTGCGGTGGCGGCGTCAAAAACGGTTTTAGTTGTAATACTATAAATGTAATATTTGTTGTCTGTCATTGTAGCTGGGATAATTTTACTTATTAAAGCTCATAATCTTACCACTTGAAACATCACTAGCCCTGAAGCTGCTGGTAGACATCGCGGTTGGAATTATCAAAGGTTTTTGACACCTGAGAGACACCGTAGCAACTCCTTTGCATTTGGAAGCGGGGGTGGGGGTGGGGGGAGGACCAGGGAGGATGATTCAACCACTCAACCACTAGATGTCGCTGAAAACAACAAATCCTACACACTGTGCCTTTAAACCATTTTCAGCTCTGAAATGGACAAAAAAAAATTTAGTTACCAGTTTGCTTGAATTTCCTCTATTTAAAACACTTTTCCTGACCTTATAATTCTCCTTTCAAAGCTACCATAAGCACAGCTCGTCACTATTTACCCATAAACTCAAATCATAGCACATCAACAAAAGCCACAGACCTTTTCTCCTTCCTCGTTCAGTGAATGTTTGTAAAGACTTTGCAGCTTTTTGTCGAAAGCCTGATCCGATGTGTGACTGTGTATGTGTTGGGCTTGTGCCCTGAATAAAAGACACAGGGTCACTCGTGGTAAGAGGCAAGGTCAGTGTTGCTCACTGCACTCAGCCGTCCGCCTGTCACTCATAAACATCACGTGAGACTAAATCTGGCTCTTGTTCGAAGGGTCTGTGTCGAGACTTTTCACATCTTTCAGAATACCTGTTAGATGTCCTGCAGATTTAATGAGAGATAATGGCTCATAAAGCAAATGATCTCAAAGAATATAGAAACATATACTGAGTTTGTGGCTTTAGAGCTCGGCAGAACAGTTTGGGTTTGTGAGTTTTATCCCGCTTGAAAATAAAACTTTGGTCCCGTAAAACGTCCAGCTCTTAATAATCCGTCCTCTTTACAAACACTTGCAGATAAACAGGGAGAAAAATGTTTATTTCTAACATGTGAGTGTAAGGGAGGGGAATCATGGAGGGGTGGGTCGTGACAATAACAGTTTTTGACAGGCACATTAGGCTGCAGAAAGAGCATCCAGCTCGGGGCTGAGGGCATATGGTGCTCCCGTCTGCTGGCGTAGCTTTAGACCAGGATACAACACTCGCACAGGGTCACGGCTGTCTCAGGTTTGTTCCTTCTGTCTCTTTCGTCTAAACAAAAACAGGAGGGGGAACGCAAATGGGCGGAGTGGGGGACAACGGTCAGGCGGGCGCTGTCGTACACTAGTTGTGTATTTTAGTGCACGACTGCTTTAAGTCATGCCCTATTTGTGTCAGGACCTAATATGGTCAAAATGTAAAGAGGAGGCATTTGACATTTGCAGAAATGCATCTCTTTAACTTTGAGTTTTGTCACACTTTTTCCAGCTCTTGTTTTTTTTATTTTTTATTATTTTCAGCACGACTGTTGTAAATTAACACATATTCCTGCAGGGATTTTTATCTTCTGTCATCTGTACACCCATGTTGCGCGTTTCGTTGGCAATCCTTAATCCCGCTCTAAACAATGGCCCATGTTTTCACCACAACAGCTCCTCTAGGGTTTCGTCTTTGTGATGTGGATTGCACGGACTTGGATGATGTGGATGATGACGCAGTGCTTTTGGTTTGAAGGCAGCAAATCGGTGGGAAGGTAATTACAGCCTACTGTGYGGCTTCCTGGATTTTCCTTGAATCACAGTTATAGGTCGTGACACTCACATTCCAGTGCGACTCTGAGATAAAAATAAAACGGTCGCAACATATGGACCAGGCAAAACAATGGTTTATTTTTATGGTATTTGATGAATGGGTTTTAATTTAGATTGTCACTTCTGGCAAGCAGGAGGGCAGATGGTTCAGACTCGAGTGCCCATTAGAGCCTAAATACCTCCTGGCAGCTGTTGGTCATAAACTTTTTTTATTTATTTATTTTTCCAAGCGTTTTTTTTCTT